TCAAACTATTCAAAACTTTTCATAGATGAGTACTATCAATCCAGGCATTTTCCGCGGACGGGCACTATCCATCCGGGTATTTACCGCGGGCGGGCACTATGCGCTGATAGTGTCTCTCCACGGATGAACACTATCGCGTCACGTGATCGATTAAACCAATAAGAACCGGAGAAAATTTAGTGGTGAACTATAATGCTGTGTGGTATGGCATCATGCTCTATCCTCCTACCTCTCACAAGAATTAGAACGTATACAGAAATGTGCTCTCAAAATCATAGTACGTATTTCTACTCAGAAGCCCTTCAAATCCCAAAATTAAGAACAGTGAGTTTATGATGCTGTGATTCTAGAAGACGCCGCGGTCTGTCTTGGTGGTCGCGTCGGGCCTAGCGGTTTGTATGTAAAATAGTTTACGATTGATTCCAGTCACGACGACGAGGCGAATCCTATCGGCGGGAAATTTTCACAATGCGCTAGTTTGAGATCAGCTCACCAAACATCGCAGCCAAACCAGTAAGCACAGTATGAGCATAAATTCACTTGTAATTTTGATATAAAATCTATTGTAACCCACTCCCTTATTGATTAATAGTATGTAATTTTTATAGTTGTACATTTGTAATTCAGTTTAACTGCGGTGATGGTGGAATTAAACTTCTTTTATTGTCATTATTATTGTTATTATGGAATCACAGAAACAGCACTTTAAACTATTGCAAGACAGAAATCTAGGTAAGAAGATATCAACCAGTGTTTTCTCTACAGCCCTCAAAATCCATTAAATCGATTAGAAAACCTTTTTAAGTGCCGAGGACGATACAAGTCCAGTTCGACTCAAACATCCCAAATCTACTTGATTTCGTACGCGTAACCAAACACATTAAATCATTGAAATTTTCATCAGTTGAATTAGCCAATAAGCACGCGTCTGAAATAGGACAATGAAAAAATGAAACAACGTCCGTAATTGCTCGCGCCAGGGCGTAAGTGCCAACTGAGTTTTTTTTAAAAACTTTTTTAACAATTCCTTAAATGCAGAAAAGGTCGTAACAACCAAAACATGAGCTAGCACACTGATTCGCTGAATATAGGTTTAGGTATCTAATGTAGATCAGACTTACAAGCTTTAATTTGATGACCAGAGTTATTCTTCGCAAAATTAAAAAACCAACCTTGTTGAGGCTATACTTTCTCTTTTTTGATTCCACGATTTGATTCATCCTCTGCTTGACAATGTCATAAAGAGGAATGAGAGAAATATCACAAGCGTACATGCATACCTGTCTGGCAAAGAACCCTTCTTAACGATCGCTCTCTCTTACTTTTTTGGCGGGAGTTCAAGTGAGAGAAGAAGAATGTGCTTTTCTTTAAGTCTTTAATCCAAATTCTAAATTAAATTACATTACATAAGGTACTTCAACTACTTTTAGGAGAGCTTAAAACAAAGTACAGATTCCTTAATATATGAGCCACCTTAGTGTATCAAAGTTTATAATGCTGTGTTCATTCTTTACCTTGTTAAAAAATTCAGTGTCAAAGAAAATAAAAGAAAGAAAAAATTCTTAACTCATAATAAAATGAGATAATCACGATAACAAAATTAGCACTGAAGTTGTCACTGACCAAAGACAGTCGAACCTCCAATAACGACCACCTGTCTCCAATGGCCACTTTTTGTGGTCCCAGCGGGCTGTCCATACCGTTATCTCCCCATACCGGCCACCTCTCCACAACGGCCATTTTCTTCTGTCCTCGAGGTGGCCGTTGGGGAGAGGTTCAACTGAATTTTCCACACCGTTCTCTTTGCATTTCCCATGATACTGACANCCGTACGACCCAGGTCAGTAGGGACCTCAAGAAATCACGACGGCGACAGCAACGAGGACGTGTAAAAACAAGAGATCTAATTGGCAGAACAACAGCTCAGCACGTGCGTTTTGAAACTTTGTACATTTCTTAACGGTCCTATGCAAAACAACAACGTGAAATCGCCAAAATTTGCGTCGTCTGCGAACCGAAACCGCGACGGAAAATTATTTTAATTTCCATTTGGAACTCAACGGCTACTTTATACGTCATGCTGAAGTTGAGCTGTGGCGCTGTATGAGACAATAAGCTCCTGCAGCCATGTTTGAAATTCTAACTAAGAGTAGAAATTAATGTTTTAATCGAAGTCTTCCTTGGCGTCGCCGTCATGGTTTCTTAAGGTCCCTATTCTGGGAATAAGCTGTGGAGAGGGGGCAGGGGACTGGGTCTCATGGATATGGAGGCCAAAATGCATAGACCCAATGGGTTGTTCAAAAACAACACCGTAAAAAATTGAAAACTGGAACATGTGAATGAGGGGAAAAGGCGGAATGAAAACGTAGGAACGGGGTGTAGACTAATGCAGATGGCTGCCAGGGATAGAATTTCCATACTGGGGTCTTGTGCTCCACTGGGCAAAAAGAATTAAGCTGACAAGTACAGGCTGTATGTGAATAAATAAAACCATTTAAAAATTCCACTCCAATTTCAATTATACTTTATGATATGAGATAAAAGGTAGCGAAGAATTAAAATGATCTTCTGTTTTACTTTTTCTACACAATGTGTCTACACGTCTTTCGATCTCTTCTGGCAAAGCTTACTTCGGTAATAAAAGCGATCGAAACAATGGTGGAGCAATCGCTGGTACTGAATGAATTAAAACAATTTCTACATATTTGACTTAGTCACGCAGCAAAAGTGTTTTTTTGTCAAATATGTCATATTAGGTTCATTGGTCTTAAAAAGATCTAAAGAGAGTTTGTGAAGGAAGGAGGGGTGTTGCCTTGGGATAGGGGATGAAAAAACAAAACAGTAACAAAAGCGAAGAGAGAATTAGATGGTGATTTTGAACAAAAACCCTAAATAGTAGCAAAACACGATTTATGGATGCGGCAATGATACCTCGATTCAGCACTTTCCTAATACTAAATAGAATTCTTCAGATAAATTGTGTTTTGTGTCGGTATCACGCTAGTGATACCTGGTAACAATAAAGATAACTCGCCCTTTTTAAGTCAAATAAAATCTTAAGTCAAGTTTAAAAGTTTAATTTCAAGTTAAAAACCCTTTAAGACCTTAGTGCAGACATAGAAAAACAATATTAAAATTAGAACAGGGATCAGAAAAGGTCAAAAACTGTCGAAAATTCATGTTGTAAGGAATTTGGCGAAATTTTGCAATGAATAATACAACAAAGAAGAAAAAGCTGCTCCCGCTTGAGTTACTGTAAAAAATTAGGTAATATTGACTTGAAACCATTGCGCAGTTTTCTTAAAAAATCCAATTAAGCGGATAAAAGTATTACGTCTTGTTATAGAGAACTAAGTTATCTAGATGCCCATTTCCACCATAGAGTAAGCAAAAAGTTTTTGTGAGCATAACATTTGCCTGAAAGCGAGTTAACCAGGTCTTAAATTGCCTCTTTTTCACAAAATCAAATATCTTTTCTCGTGGAATTGGTATCCAGAGTCGTGATGATGAAATTTTAAAATCAGGCCACTAGTTACATCCGCAATAAGGACATCGCCATCATTTGTAACAACAACAGAGCAGGGGCATTCGAGATATTTCCCAGCTGGCAGCGAGGTGATAAATATTCCTTTCAGAGTGATGACTTCGACAGATTTGGCATCAGAATCACACGCAATCAGGTTGTTGAATTTGTCGACAGCTAGTCCGGCTGGACCATCGAATTCACCGATATCGTGTAAGTACACCCCATCTTCGTTGAAAACCTTCACACTTTGACCTGTACGATACGACACGAAATATTTTTCCTGAGCGTGAAGAGCAAACCAAGGAGAGGCCTCATCATCACTTGCTCTGAAGGACTTCAACAATTTCGTCCCGTCAGGAGAGAGGAGCTTAATTGACCTGTCGCCCGAGTCACACACTATTAATCTACCATCATTCTTGACAGACACACTGCAAGGATTACGCAAAAATTCCCCGCCAATGCCCATGAATGGGTGACCATGTTGAGAAAAAACCGAAATTTTACTCACGTGGCTAAAAACTGGAAACTTTTTACTCGGCGGCGAGGTATCTTCATGAATAACGATAACATTTGAAGCAAGAAAGAATTTTGTGAACGCCACACATCTTGGTCTTCGGTCTGGTCCAAAATCCACTATAGTTCTTAGGTAATTTAACCTACAATCATACAGAAGCACTTTTTTATTGTCATAGTCAGCCACCGCAATGTTCCCAGTTTCTCGACACTGAGCGATGCAATAAGCAATTTGAGATGGTGTCACAAGAACAGTCCAGGAGCTACCAGCCAATAGCATTTCATTGACGTAGATCGCAACGTTATTGCGTCCAACTTGCTTCGGTGTGTAACGCACCTCGTAGCGTCCGTCTTTATGATCTATAATTTTCGCTGTGTCGCGGTATCCTGATGGGTTGTATACTTCAACGGTTACTTGGTCATTTTGATTATAAATCTGGTCTCCGAGTGAATCCCTTGTGGTTATGTGAAACAGAATTTCGTCGCCTGATTTCACACTTTCAGCCATGCTTTCACCGTCAGCAACTGTCGACGATAAAGTGTCGGTAGGTCCGGCAACCATTCGACCGGATCCATGTAACTTAATGACATTCAGAATTTCTGCATTTGGAACATAATGAAAATGATTGGGTTTGAATATCTTTATTTCTGCTTCATTCAAAACTTCTTCAGAGTGACCGATGATTGTCTGCTCCGCTTGCAAAATGTCAGCCGGCACGTTTCTCTGTACGACGCCCTCTCCCCGTTCAACACAGCTTTTCAGTCGGGAAATGGCTAACTGATAGACTTCTAGTCGTCCTTCATGATTCCTTTGTTGCGTCTCAATAACCTGTTTCAACTTTGTCTCTACGGCCTTTTCATGTTCCCTCAAAATTTTCACAAGTTCATCCACAGTTTTTGTCACTTTAGCTTGAGCGTCATATATTTCAGCCATGCTTTTATTCATAAGTTCAGTTTGTCTTTTCATTTGTGTTTCAAGAACGGCTACTTGAAGCTTTACTTTTTTCACGACCTCGCTAATTTTATTCTTACAATCAATCGCAGCTTCTTCGATATCCACCATAGCATGGCCATTGTGACTCACAAATCCACACTTCACGCAGACAGAGACCTTGCAATCTTGACAATAGTACTCGAGCGCTTCGTTTTGGTGATATTTCTGGGTACACATTGCAGGTCGATGCATCAATTCTTCGACATCTTTTGCTTGCAGTTTCTCAATAAAAACATTACGGTGACCTCTCGTGGCCTTCAAGCGTTGATGCGCTTCAAAACAAGCTGAACAGAGTAAGCTTTGACAAACAAAACAATACGAAGTTACAGCGCTAGTATCGTCGCAGCTATTGCATGTCTGTGTCTCTGCATCACCATCATTCAGAGCTAAGACATCCACCAATCGATTAAGATGAAAGGATGTTGGAAAATCACAGAACGTATCACCTTTTGGAATATTCAAGTCGGTCAGGCAAACCGGACATTTGATTTTCGTTTCTCGCCGTCTTCTTGCGTATCCGGCATGTTTGTCAAGGCAGTTTAAACAGAACGAATGTAAACATGGAAGCGTTTTGGGTTCTTTGACAGTTTCTAAGCACAGCGGACACTCGGCTTCCTTCTTTAGATTTTGAAACAACTGTTGAACATCCATAACGAAAAGCTATTCTGTTCAAGTGACGATCGAAAAACCCAATCATCGGGTGAGCGTCACGTGCTGAGGTCTGCTAAGGCAGAGAGGCACTGGTACCAAATAAGATTTTTGTCTCGAATCTACTGAGGTATTCTGTTAAGGTGGCGAAATACGAGATACAAAAACCCTCAACTTGGCGCGCAACATTGTTTCCTTGCAATTTTTGGTCGATGTTTCTCGTTTTTCACCTTGCGTGTTGCAGGTTGAAGAAATGTTGCTTAAAGTTGACCCGCGCTCTACTTTTCGCAACAAATTTCTTCAACCTGCAACAAATGTTTTTGTTGGGAGACAAATTGATCACGCAAGGTGAAAAACGAGAAACATCGACCAAAACTTGCAACGAAACAATGTTGCCCGCCAAGTTGAGGGTTTTTGTATCTCGTATTTCGCCGTAACTATCAGCTGCTGGTACACCTCATGACACATACACACCCATGTAGCATCATTCCATAATATGGTGGATAATAATATTACACCACCTTTCGCCGTTCGCGAAAATGAATTAAGCGAGAGGAATTAAAGAAGAGACCGGTACAATTTTTCCCAGTTTGTGCCAAAGAAGATTAGACGTAGGGGATCAAAGAAGACATCTGATTGAAGTACTACGGTCACCACCTCGACTGGTCAAGATGATAACTTTCGAAAATCCTTCTTAGCAGGCGTTGCAAACTAGACCAATTTTAGATGCTTTGCTGGTGAGTCTTAATTTTGCATCTATCAAAAAAATTTTCGATTCTGTTTTTTGTACAGTCATTTTAAGTTTAAGTTCTACTAGCATGTACTCTATAAATTGTATTCGGATGTGCCACATGTCAGGAAAAGATCAGGAAAGAAGTCATGGAATTTTATTTTGAGTCATGGGAAGTTGGCATGTTAAAAATAGTCAAAGAAAACTGATGTCTGTAGCAACCAAGATATTTCTCATTCGACAGACTGTTTTTTTTTTTTGCACAGATATATAGGAAACTGTTTTGTTCATGAGTTGTGATGAATCACACACAATGAAAGCAGTATTTTTTTATTCCTTATTATTTTAATTAAAAAGAGATCTCTTACTATTTAGTATAATTTCAGAGCTGAGCAAAGATCTTCCAGCAATCTGATTGGTCGAGCAGTTCCTTATATGACGCTATATAAACCGCTCCACGCGGTTTATATAAAATGTTAAAGGAAAATGTTAATAAATGTTACTAAAATGTTATGATTTTAGAAATTTCTCTGTTGTTCAACTCTGAAATTATACTAAAACAATTATTCGCCTCAGGTTCGGTGAATATTGTCGAATAATCCCCTCGAATATTCACCTCGCCTTCAGCGAATAATTGTTAATTATGAATTAACAGTTCTTTACAAACGCGTAATTATGAAAAATTACAGCCAAACTCGCGCGATTAGTTCACTTTTAAGAACGAAGTTCCAAAACATTAACCGTCAACCGTCAAATGACCTAAATCTAACCGTCAACAGTCAAAAGGGCTTACTATAACCGTCAACCGTCAACGTGACCTCCCCCCCATCTTTTTTATTGGGACCCTCCGGAAAGCTCTCTATGACCAATTACCTCTTTGACTCCCAGCAGTGAT